CTACTGTTGAGTGCGGTGAGGTAAAAAGCTTGAGCGCACGAAAACGCAATGCAAACAAATAATGAAAATTACAAAAAAAAAAAACAAGACTAATGTCTGCACAAGTCGGCGCGCAATGTAAACAAAAGCGCTCACACATACTCACGCAATGACACAAATCCCGATTGAGAGATGGACAAAACGAAAAAACGCCAAAGTTTCACTTTCGTTTTCGATTTGATTTCGTGCGCTCGTTTTTGCTACGATTTGCCACTGTTTTNTTTGTTTCTTCGTTTTCTTTGACTAAAAGTCAGCCAAAGTCAAATTTTACAATGGCCTATTGTGCCTTTTTCCCTCTTTTTTCACATTGACGCCTTTTCTCATTTTCTCAATTTATCATTTTCGCTTGCCTGCTTTCTGGTTTTCCTTGTTTTGGTAGCTATGGGCTGTCGGCTGGCGCTTTCTGCTGCTTTTACGCATTCACACAGTCAAATGATTGTTATTACCAACGCCACCAACAACAGTCAACCAACCAAGCGACCAACCAACAGCGAGCCCACTCTTCGCAAACGAAAACTGCATGTTGTTGTTCTTTATTGTTGTTGTCGTGCTTTACGATGTAACTTTTGAATACGGAAATGATTTTTGCTGCCTGACTTTTGGACTCGAATGCAATGTGGTGGCTATTTGTGTGTTTCGCGTTAGTTGAGTGGGCTGCGCATGCGCACTAACTCCGTGGCTGCAGCTGAAAGCAGTGCGGTTGCATGTGTGTGTGTATGTGTGTGTGTGCTTGCGAATCTTTATTTGTCTTTCATTGTTTATTTCTGCATGCAGTTCATGTTTGCAATACTTGCACTTTTCTACGCTGCCAGCATGTTTGGTTTTTTGCTCGATTTCTGTTTTGGGTTTGTCTGTTTGTATTTATATAGCAGTGCCAAGTGGTTGGCGGATTTTAATGGCTTGATTTATTCATAAGCTTTGCCGTCAAAGTGGTCACTTACTATTATCATTGAATTATTATTGTGTTGAAAAAATTGGGCTATTATTTTGGAAAGTGATGATAACAAGAAAATTTGGTAGAAATGAAGAAAAATGAGGATAGATTACTGAATGATTTAAGTTCGCTCTGAGCATATTTTTTGCACGAATCATAAAAGAACTTAACTTTTCAATATTAAAGATTTAGTTCATAATTTTTCTTAGGATCTGTCAGCAAGATTGGTGTACATATAGTGTCTATGCATGGAGACATTATAACAGGTGTAGATAGTAGTAAGAGCGAGAAGAACGATTTGACACTATCTTATTCGAAAATTTGCTTGAAAAAATATCTAGAGCGAGAAGCTGTTTTAATACTACACCTGATATTATTTCACCATGGTGTCAATGCAACGTGCATACAACTTTTCATTTTAGGGCAATAGACCACATTAAAAGTCTTTTTCTTTGAGCTTAATTGAATAGTTCATTTAGATACTCTCTTATACAGGGTGTTTTAAGGTTGCATTCTGTGGTTCATTTCATTACGAAACGGACCTAACGGACGGTGGTCCAACTCGAATGCCCTTCTTATATTTATTTTGCTTCAACACGAAAGTGTGTCTTGAAAAGATTTTATCTCTTGATGTAGAAAATAGAAAAAATAGAAAATAGTCAGAATTACATAGTTGGCGACGTTTAAATTTGCTTTTTAGTTTATAACAAACAAATATTGCTATTTCAATAGTGTTATTGAGCCTCGTACTACGATTTTTTTTTTTTAGGAAAAATGGAAACATCCATAGCAAAAAGAGTTTTCGGGGTATGAACAGCTCAGTAGTTAGTGGTGCTGGCTTTGCACATCGATGGTGCGGGTTCAATTCCAGCCGAGGTCTAGAGAAATAAGTCTGATGAGGAGATGTGGTAGATCGTGGTACAAAGCTCAATAATAAAGCAATAAAATTTATATATTTTTTTCTTACACTGTTTATTGGAAAACTAAGGTCTAATCCTGGATCTATTTTGCCATTTATTAACAGTCGGTTATTCAATCTAAAGTACGACATGAACTTGAATTTGTTATGCAAAATTCGTTTGTAGTTTTTATCAGCGAGGCAATCAAGTTAGCTTTGAAAATGAGTTATTTATCATTTCAAAAATATCCAACACTAACTTTCTATTCGACGGTATGGCAAATTTTTAAAAGAAGAACATTGAATCCTTTCCATTTTAGTAAAGTGCGAGTACAAAATATGTACTTGCCGTTAGATGGCGCCGTAGCGAATTTGCGTTTGAACTTATTCGAAGCTCAGCCGAATGTTTTGCCGGCATGCGGATTCTCTCGGTTGGTGTAAAGGGTATATGTTGTTTTAGTGGAAAATAACTTGCATTGAAACGTATGTGGCTTTTGTACGGCCTACAGATTTTGTTTCACTAACTAATATTTCGAAATAGAGCCAAGCTGCAGCAGAAAGGGGTCAAGAAATGTTTTAAGAGGATCCTATGAAAAAATTCAAGAGAAAGTACTACAACATTTTTTTCGCATATTCCAAAAGATTAGTTTAAGTATCAACGTCTATCGAGAACAAGCAGCACCTACGTAAGTGGATAACTTTGCCTAAGTTGTTAAATCGTAGTAAATTCGTTCTCTTCCTCTCTTACAAGCTCTGGTGCTCACCAGCGCATCTACACAAATATTTTTTAAAGCTGGTTCGGAGGAAAGTTCAATCACTATGAATTAGAGCTCTCGATTTTGTTCGCACATTTTCAAACAGCCCGGGTATATGAGCAGCGAGTACTCGCACACTTGTTCAATGCTCATTACTCGAAAATTTTCGAGCATGAGCTCGAGCAATTCGAGTTTTTTCGAGTAATTTGAGCAATGTTTTTTTTATTATATTGACATTTTTGGTAGCAACTTTTTAAATATTTCAAATTATTGATATATAATGCAAAGATTGTTACATTGGTTTTTATTAATACAATTTATTTAACATGAATTAGAAAGCAGCTGCTGACAAATACAATTTACAAATTTTCTTTTGTTTATGAAATTGTTCAAAAACTCGAAAATTTTGAACAAACATTTGAGCAGTTGAGCAATGAACGAGTTTCGAGCGAGTATCGAGCTACTCGCATTGCTCGATACCCGGGTATCTAGAGCTCTACTATGAATATTTATCAACGATAAATACTTTGGCTGGCGAGAATTTTTTTTCCGCAAGCCCAACCAAAGTTTGTGTGTTACCTTTTCTAGAAAGATGAGTTTTGACAATATTGTCGCTTTACATTAAAACGAAATCTGTTTTTAAATTTCCTCCAAAAGACTCTGGATGATAAGCTTTATAGAAGTTTTACGTTGATCATAAGTCTTATAGGCGACATACACAGTGCGTCTGACTCGCGAGTCATTTGTATACGTGTTGACCCCCTTTCGACTACACACAGTTGAATCATTCAGAGTCATGCCAGAAGTCGTGTCGGTGTAACTAACTCATATTTATTTTCACAGATACATCCAAATTGACTTACAAGTCAGACGCACGCTGTATGCCGCCTATTATTTAGTTCAGAATACTACGATTATTTGACTTCGACATGGAAAAAATAAATTATAATGTGAAGTTTCTTGAAGTTAGTTCATTACAGATATTGGGGTGAGCTTAATTTTTGTCTTGGCAATTTTTCTTCAGAATTTGATGCTAAGCTATTGGTCGCGGCTGAACTGATCTCTTCCTGTACTATAAACACTTGACTGTGGTTGGAACACATACAAACGGAATGTTTCTGTTTCAAGAAGAGAAACACTTTTCGAACATCCCTTCCCGATTTTGTAAAGATTAGTTAATTAAAAACACTTCAAATAAGATTGGGTTAAAAAGGGCCAAAATGTTAAAATGTTTACAAGTTAAAACAAAGTTGTTAACTAACTTTAGTTAGATATTATTTCTAAAAAATATATGTCATTTATTATTTAATAAAAATCGTTTAAATCCCAGTTAGAAGCTTTGTGCCATATATATAAAAATTCCACAAACTTTCGTGAAAATTTCGAGCTAGTTAATTAAATTAAAAGTTTAAATTCGAGGTAGCTACGACGAAAAGCCTGATTATGGCAGCTTAACTTAACTTAACGTAACTTAGAACTTAGAAAATCAGAATGAAACCGACTTCGACTTGGCATTAAGTTACGTTAAGTTTCGGTTGTACAAATATGAACAACATCCATTTAAGAGAATTTCTAAGTGACAGCCTCTAAGTTGCCATAATCAGACCTTCCCCGTTGATTTCTGGCATTTTTTGTTAATTTTCTTCCAAATAAAAAATCTTCGTTCATACTTTGTATGGAAGCAAATGCTCAACACTACAATTATAACACGGAGTGTATATTGAATTGCAATATCATGTCCATCCAATCAAATGTTGATAACAAATTTTCTAGACAAGCTTTTGATAGAGGTATTAGCTCTTTAAACGACTCGAAACTACGAAGAGGGTGCTTGCTGAAATTAAATCAACTCAGCGACATGCGTAAGGTATTTTTAAGTATTTATATGGCTGGATTATTTTATTGTTCAGAACTTGCCAATTAAACTGCAGCCATATCAGACAAGTGTCATCAAATCTCAAGTCAATGGAAAGCTGATAGACTACAGACTGACAAACAGTCAAACAGTTCATAGATAGTAGGCGCTAACGAGCTAATGCGCGCATAGAAATAAAATAAATAGAGAGGGTGAATTGTACTTTAGAAGGTTGTCGCATTTGGAGAAATATTTATATATGTATGTATATGTATAAATGCTATAAATACTTGTATAGCACTTGGTAATAGTCATAAGTGGATGTCGCCAAAGAAATTGACGAACGCATGTCTCTTAACAAACATTTTTCACATTTTATTTGTTTAGCTATAAATATCAATTTATGTACATATCGATGGTCCTCTGCAATAATGACATAACTCAAAATTAAAAAAAAACCCGTTGCCGCAAATAAGTGTTCCATGTCTCTAATCCATGTATAATCCTACTAATTACTAGAAACCTGAGTTGCTAAACAGTAGTGAAGGTTGTATTTTTTGTGTGAATTTTGAGTTGTGTCGTTATTGTCGAGGACCATCGATTTGTGTCCATAAACTTAACACACATGTATTTGCATTTCTCATTGCAATCAAATATATTTTTTTTGCATGTCTTTCAAACATTCTAATTTATATTCTACAATTTTGCATTGCAGGAAAATCCTCATCGAATAACAAAGAAGTTATATGCGGCGATGACAAATACAAAGAGGAGGGTGATCTCTGGAATGTGGAGGCCCAAACCGCATTCCTCGGACCGAATTTGTGGGATAAAACTCTGCCGTACGATGCCGATCTTAAGGTAACACAAGTTAGTATCATTTCTGCTGCGTAGTGAAGCGTGCTCTTCATTTTATGTACTCGTACATATGTATGTATGTATATTAGGGCGGGTAAAATTTTTTGCATCAAAAGCATTTTGGTTATTTGGGTAATTTCAAGCTTTTTTGCCCAAGAAACCATAGGTCTAAAATGAATTCTATTTTTTTTTCAAAAAGTGGCTCACCTGTTTAAACAGCTGTACAGAGAACTAGCCAAAATGTTTTTCGCGGGGGGTGGGGGGGTTTTGGGGGTCGAGGAATCCATTCATGGCATTAATTCTTTCTTTTGAGGGCCGCCAGAGGGCGCTTTCGTACTTTTTTGGTTTTTAACGCTGAACATTTTAGGCTATTCAAAAATTGAAGTTGCTTTATGAGAAAGTAAAATTTCGTGGATTTCCCGACAATGTTGTCGATTTTCGGAAAAAAGACGTTAACATCAAAAAAAAAAGAACGAAAGCGCCCTCTGGCAGCCCTCAAAAGAAAAACTTAATGCCAGAAATAGATTCCTCGACCCCAAAACCCCCAGATACACATTTAGAGTAGTTTTCAATACAGCTCTTTCAGCAGGTGAGCCACTTCTTGAAAAAAAAAACTAGATAGAAAAAATCTCTGGCTCGAAATTCATTTTAGACCTATGGTTTCTTGGGAAAAAATGCTAGAAATTACCCAAATAATCATAAGCGCGATGTGCCTCTGTTAATTTTTTTGGGCCCCTACAAATCGACCCGCCCTAATGTATGTACATACATAAGATCATTGATATGTTACATTTCAGATCCTAATTTTTGCACATACACACACACAAAAATACCAATAAAGACAAATTTACAAGAATGCCAATTAATTGGGAAGTATATAATAAGTTTCAAAAATCCATGGATGGCTAGCCGCAGGCAGTACAGTTGTTGCAAAACGCTGCGAAGGTGATGCAATAATTAGTGCTTGATGACATTTTATAATACATACGTTTGAAACATTGCGTCAACTCTTTTCTATATATGTATGTATGTATATATGTAATATGTACATATATAGATATGTGACTTTCTGGCTGCCTGCTGCTGCTCGTCATCGTTTTTACACAAATTCACAAAGTTTTTCATAGTTCAGCGCTTTGAAGCTTTCGTAGTGCAATGTGCAATTTTCCATTTAATTATCAAATTGTTAATAGAGAAATGCAATTTATGGGTACACATTCATGCATACATAGTACATTCATTCAAATGTTGTGCACCGAGAGTGTTCTTTGTAATTCATAATCAAAGTCAATTGGTACAAATATGTGCATGCGTATTTGCTCTAAAGCAGTGCTCGTCAAACTTTTGAGTGTGACGGACCGGCTGCAGTTTTTCTATTACGTCGGGGACCGGTACCTTTTTTTATTGATTATTTTTCGTTTACGATCATCTCATATATGTATTAAAATTTGTTTAAATGAATTTCTTTATTAGCCGGGTGTCTATATATGACCTATTACCATTTAATGATAGCAGATATTAGCGATTTTTTATGAATGTTTAACAAATTTAAGTTGTTTTTATTATACAAGTTGTATATAGCCTCATTAAACAGTAATATAAAACATCACAAATGTAATAACTGTAAAGTTATAATAATGGGCCTTATGCATAAAAAGTGAGCTTAAGCTCAGACTCAATTTTTGCACTGAAGGGGTGAGCTCAAGCTCAAGAATTTGTACTGAAAATCGAGTCGGAGCTTAAGCTCACTTTTTATGCATGAGGCCCAATAAGACATATTATAAGCACGTCAAGTTTTATTAAAATTATATTAATGCTATTGGAAGGTGTCATTCCTTGTAAAGTTACGAAAGTCGATGTTTACTAATGCGAGAGGTGAGCCTGTTTATTATTTACAAGCTTATCAAGTCGTGGCTCAATTGTGGACAGTGCGACACGCAATGGAGAACTAATATTTAAACTGTTCCTGTACTTTGTCTTAATAATACTCATGGTTGAAAACCCAGTCTCACAAAGGTAAGAAAATCGTTGTCCATTTCGCGACGCCCTTTGCGGACCGGCGACTTATGGCTTACGGACCGGCACCGGTCCGCGGACCACCACTTTGACGAGCACTGCTCTAAAGTATGTATGTATGTATGTATGCCTACACGATTTTAACATTATCTTTTACGACTCACTTGAGTTAGGCAGTGCTTGAAATTGCACACTTAAATGATATATCTAGGATTATTTGGCTTATCGGAACAACTAGATACAAACCAGTATAAAATGCAACATTTTCGTGACGTTAAACGAATTTGCTGGAAAATGAGATTGCTAGATCAATAATATCACATTTAAACATTTTATAAAAACAAGTATGGATATATAATTCCAAGTGCACACTGCCGGAAGAAAATATCGGCACAGCAAATCTTTCACAATATATGCAACAATTTTTATTATAATATTTTTACGCCAATTTTTCATAAAAATACGCTTCATTCTGCACAAGAACATAGAAATATAATTCCTGAACTTTGTGCAAAACTCGCGAGAATTCAGCAAATTTTCAACTTTTTAATCAGGTTTTTTAGAATTTTTTTGAGTATGCAAGTTTGCAGCCCATTAAATTATAGTAAAAAAAATGCAAGTTCGGAGTTGGTCAAAAATCGCAATGATTTTTGGGATTTTTTTTTTTGTTGAAAGTGTTTTGCATTTTTCCATATAAAGTATTTTCGAAAAAAATTTTTGTATGGAAGTGATTGCGTGAAAAAAATGCCAAAAATCAACGCTAGGTTCCGCTAGGTACTGTAATATTGCGCTAAATTTTTTCTACCAGAACAGTTGCTCACAGATTTCAGCATCACTTTTCATTAATTATACCATTCAATTTCTAAAATTTGTACCAATTCGTAAGTTTCAAGCACCACCTTTTTTATGAAGACACACTGCTTTAAAGTATAAAGAGAACCAAATCGCTGTGCGAATTTCGTCGGTCGGAGTGATGCCGGCGGATGATATTCGCTGCAATATTTCGCCTAGTAAAACAAAACAAAAAGGAAAATGACAAACAAAAATTATATAAATACAAAAGCGAATAGATGAATCACCAAATTTTGCCATTCTGATTCTTGCTGATAGTTATCTGCTAGAAAATGGGGAAACAATGCTACTTTCCCACCGAGAGCTTTTGAGAGATTTTGTGACCGACGGCAGCGAACTTTCTCCCAACGAATTCGTCTGAGCGATTCAATTCTGTTTATGCTCTTAAATTCATAGTTTCAAAATAGAATTAAATAAGCGCTTATTTTTTGTTTAATTGTCAAATGTGTGTAGTACGAAAATTTTGTAAAAAACAAAACTATTTTGAATTATTTCAAGAAAGTTTTTGCTTATTTTATTTTTTGTTTATATGTAAATATTCAATTCTTTACGTTTATTTGCACTAACAAAACCAACCGATTTTTACTATTTTTCGCCTTCGCATCAATGATTCGCAACGTAAAGTACGCAGATTTGGATGAATTTTTATCGGAGAATAATATACCTGATGGCTTGCCTGGCACCCATTTGGGACACTCAAGTGGTTTGGGCCACCGATCAGATTCGCTGGGGCATGCAGCTGGACTGGGACTGGGTCTCGGTCATATAACGACGAAACGTGAACGTTCCCCATCGCCATCGGATTGTATAAGTCCGGAAACATTGAATCCACCATCACCGGCCGAGTCAAGTGAGTAACAAAGTTAGGCATTATGCAATTAGATACATATAATCCTTGTTAGTGAGTTGCTCAGTTTTTGCTAGTACCTGTCGATGCGTATTTTACTACTAATTACTGTACATAGCATTCAGTTAAATTTTTATCCTGAACAAGCTTTAATTTCTAAATTAGTTAATTAAATAAACGGACGATACCTACATAAATGTTTATGGTAGTATATACTTACGAATTCTCCCAACTCTGCGAAAATACAAATTTTTGAGCTCTTTAACAGAGTAATATTTTGCCTGCAGTTCCACCATTCTATATATCGGATTTCTTCTCCACGTTACCCATACATTTCTTGTTGAGCGCCTTGAGGATGCTCCGTTGTGTAACTCTGTTAAGTAACGCGGTTCAGGTGATGGCTTCATAAGTTATCAAGTGTCATAATTTGCAGTAAAGATCCTTCTCAGCTTTTAGTGTGGAATAACCTCAACATTTTCTTGTCATGGACCTACACTTCATACAAAATTTTACAGCTTTCCTCGCTGTTTTTTCCATGTGGGGTTACCAGAGTAATATCTGGTCTAGTAATAGCGCCCAGAAAATGTAACCACTTTTTTAAGATGTATTTTGCTGCTTGAAGTCTTACTATACTTCTAAGTTTTAAACTTACTCCAACCTCTCTTCCATATTTTAGTGCTTGCTGTCTTCTTTGTTATATTTTTTTCCACTTATTTTAGTTTGCCACGGACAGTTTATGAAACATTGTT